CGCTAAACTTGCGGCACAAAATTGTTCTTCACATTTCATGCGGAAGTAATATCCATGACGCAAAATAGATAAAACTAGCCTGGTTGAGAAACTGTTGAATAGTTTGCAACTTCGTAGTAATGCTTAGTCGAAGAGTCCATGTGAGTGTGTCGAACAGCCTTTGGAGAAGTTCGTCAATCGCAGATTTAGCACCAGCCGTGCTCACTACGATGCATTCGAGTCGAATTTCGCTACAAATAAGTCGCCAAGACAAGTGCTGAAGCCTGTTATAAGACATTAATGTTGAGAAATTTTTAAGAGTCAGTAGATGAAAATAGTTAGTTAGTTTAGCCGTGCTATTCACCTGGAGATGCACTAGTTTATTTTGGAAGGAGGTTGAATGAGTATTGGATTCGATTATAAAAGGTATCCAGCTGAGATGTAAGATATGCTCACTTTGGTAGCTTCTCTGCTTCTCTTCCTTTTGTTTTGAGAAATTTCATCTGAGTTTCCCAATCCGAAGCCGTCGTAAGTTTTTCTTCAATCAGCTGTTCAAGATCAACTTGAGCAAGGATCAGCCAGTCCTGCATAGCGAACTTAATACCTGGTACGCATAGAAAAATTACAGAAGAAAATTTACAGCAAACTGCGAATCCACATTCTCGACCGCTTCCATCAGTTGTTCAGCTTTCTCATAGATACTAGGGAACCTGTTCGCATTCTTCCAGAGCATCGATGAAAAGAATTTGCCCGCCTAGTTTGATCAATGGTTAGTATTCGTTAAGTTGCAGTTATAAGGTTTTACCTGTTCACTATCAAGAACACCTTTGAATTTCTCTGGAATACTAAGCAGTTTACGCATTTCTTTATAATATTTTGCACGTATTTCTTCAATTGGGGGACGCAACTGCAGCTTCTGCTGTCTGGAATTAAGAATATTCCATGAAAAAACCTCAATATTCACCGTCTGACGTCTAATAGAACAATCAATACTTCTTTAGGGAGATTTGGCTTACATAAAAATCAACTGTGTATGTATCAATGGTATTTGCGCATGCAGGCTTTCAATTCCCCA